CCCCCCCCCCCCCCCCCAATGTTGATGTCTTCGCGACGTCCCTGAGTATATTATGTAAAAATTATCGCTCTTCCGATGTAACGTAATTTGGCGAGGATGCCAGCGTTTGTCCCAATTAGTCCAATTAACGGTCAAAGTGACCAGCCTTGTATTATTTCTTGTTGTTAAATGTCAACCCCAACTATGGCCGTTAACCTCTTTCTTCTTGGCCGGTTCTCGTTAAAATCTTTCAGGAAACACATGTAAGTGCTTTTCACTTATACTATTATATAAAGATATAACGTAATAAATTGACAACACAGGATTTTCTAATGATTTTCAATATACTATTTATATAAAGATATAACGTAATAAATTAATAACACAGGGTAAGATTGGGCCGCCTGTGGTGCTAGCACAATGACTCCGTTTCAATTTGAGTATATATAAAAATTGAGTATTTTGATAGCGTGGCCTTTCACGATCGATAATATAAATATTTACTAGAAGTTACTATCGCAAGGAAAGTGCTGCCTCATGCCAAAGGGATCAAAGGCAGCATGCGCAATTTTCTGAATAAGGGGCTGTTTTTATGATCCCGCTTTGTCAGGACGAGATATGAGGCGGGAAATGCACGATGATTTCGATGTATTGAAATAAGCTAACGGTGCACAATTCAGCAAAAAACTTCATTTTCTAGAGATAGATTTATACCCGGCGTACTTAATCGATAAAAACCGATCATCGGAAATCCAATCGATCAATCGATGGTAATCAATGGTAATCAATCGATGGTAATTAATTGATATCAATTCACATTGATCAACGATGACCAATCGATAGTCACAAAAAATTATAGCCAATATATAGATTTATTGTCGATATTCATCGATTTTCATCGACAAAATGCTTTCGATTTTTATCGATTTATATCCTAATAATCGCCGCGTGTTGGCGTGTTGGAGCTAAATGGTAAATCTGTTCTCATTTTTTGATGTACACATGATCTTATATCAAAAGTCCAACAGGATTTCAAAAGGTCCCTTGCTCCTTTATATTATTGTATTTTAACTATATATCCATTGTAAATATTTTTGTGGGCAAATATATTCTATTCTATTCTATTCTATTCTATCTTCTCTACAACATTTAAGTTCTGTTAACAAGCATTTAAACTTTTGTTTACCCTGGTGACTTATTTCAATACATCAAAAATCATCCCACCTTAATTCCATCATGTAAACAGCCCAGGAAGTAGGAAAAGTGCAATTTGAATACCAAACACCTTCCACAAGGTCAAAGGTCAGCTAAATATTCTAATTCTACTTTCTTGGCATGGACAGTTTTACATTATAAGTTCTTGCTTTTGTATTTATAATTTATAATACTGTCAAAGGTGTAGTTAGCCCACTGATCTATGATCTATTTGATCAGTGAGCTAGCCATACCAACAGGTCATGCTACAGTATGCAAGTTTTTCATGATTGTCATTATTCAACTATTTGAATATTTTGTATTTATAATTATAATACTGTCAGTGGTGAAGCTAGCCCACTGATCTATTAGATCAGTGAGCTAGCCATACCAACAGGTCATGCCACAGTATGCAAGTTTTTAATGATTTGCATTATTCAAATAGATTCAGGTTTATAGCTGTGCCATGACCAGTTGCCACTGTAGCTAGCTTGCCACTGAATACTGTACAACATCATTTTATATATAAACAATAATAATACTTGAATATTCATTGGACATGTAGAATTTAATAACAATTTCATATACAGAAATATTAAGTCCGGTTTTGACCCAATTATCGTTTTAATGGCACCTTAAAGGATTAGTGTCAGGGTCATGTATT